ACTCCGTTGGGCCAGGATGTTACCCATTTGCTCGTTGTTGGAGTGTGTTCGAGCAAAGATAGAGAAATGATTTGCTGTTCGGCGTGCATCCACCAAGGGTCGCAATCATCCGCTAACGCAGTGGACTCAATTGTGGTTGGATCCTTTGTTCGAGAAAGGTCGTACTCTATCCATTACCACACTCGTCATGCAGCGTTATAGGGTTATGGAAGAAACACGATCCTACGTGGTAGATTTAGAGGCAAGAACATGTGATTGTCGTGTTGTAATATCCCGTCATGTTATTAATATTAGTTACGCGTTTAACTCCGATATAATAATATTAGCGATTATTATTTTTCAGAATTAATTAATTCAGTCGAGATTATCCGAAATTATTTTCGAAGTCACGTTTACGTTCGAAATAATTTTGGTATTAAGCATTAAGCTTAGTTAAATAATTAAGCATATTAATTGTGCTTAATTAAGGTCAAATATGTTTTGATTTTAATAATGTCGTAGCATTTGGTGATATTTATCATTAAAATGCCGTGAGAATTGTCTTAGTGTAAAGTGAGGAAATTATCATGCAATTAAGCTTGAGGTGTCATCATTTTAAGGTACTAAGTGATGACTAAGTTCCTTATTAGATGACTAAGCTATTTGGTGGGTGATTAAGCATCCTTAAGCCTCCAAAATCTAGCATATGGCAAGCATTCATTGGCTAAAAGAATTCTCACCTCTTCACTTCATATTCGGCCATATATATATCATGTGTGGGGAGAAATTTTGCTCCTACACCTTAATCTATATTCCTAAATAAGTACTAGTATAGAGAGAAAGTGAGAGTTTCCCTTAGTGAGAGGACGCACGCGGAGAGCTTAGTCGCGAGCACGCGCGAGAGACACCGCACGTACGGAGGTGCGTCATCCGAGCTATCGAGTGTTGGTGTAACTTAGCCGATCATTCGAAGAGGTAACCTCGGTTTACCTTCTCTTGACGTTGTTAAAACCATGTTAGATCAGTTTTGTTTTAAGTCAAGCTCATGATTTAGTCTCAAGTTGCTATCGATCGTACCATGTTAATCATATCAAGTCATGTTCATTTTGGTCCGAAACTCTCGAACAATTTTCATGTATTCAGTCATTTTATGCCATTTTATGTTCAGTTAGTTCAT